AATTAGAAGAGGAAAACAAAAACCTAAGAGAGATGTGACATGTGACTAGAAGCTGGGCATGGTCCTGGGTTACATCCAGTGAGGAGACAGTGACTTTGGTCCTACAACCTCGTAACTAAACTCTTGTCAACCTACCCAATGAGCAGGAAATGAATTCTTCCCTGGAGCCCCCAGAAAGAGATGCAGCGTACAGACACTTTGCCTTTAGTCTGGTGAGACCCATGACAGACTTCTGGCCTATACAACTGTAATGTAATACATTTATGTTGTTTTAAACTATCAAGTTTGTGGTAATTTGTCATGGCAGCAATAGCAAACTAATGAAGGGACATTTGAGTCGTTTACAGTATATGGTGATTTTAAATAAAGCCACCATAAACATTCACATACAAGTTTTTGTATAAATATAACAACTTTTTTTATTTTACTTGGTTAAGTACCTAAGTGGGGTTTCTGGGTCATGTGTGCATGCTCCCTGATACTATGTATGAGAGTTCTCTTTGTTAGTTGTTTCGATTTAGCCATTCTAATATGTGTGTAGTGGTAGCACTGTCTGGTTTTAATTTGCATTTCGTTAATAACTAATGATGTTGAACATCTGTTGTGTTTGCCATCTCTATATCTTCCTTGGTCAAGTGACTTTAATTTTTTAACAAATTTTTAAAATTAGGTTCTTTGTTTTATTGTGATTTGAGAATTCTTTATGTTTTCTGTATACAAGTTCTTTATTTGCAAGTATTTCTTCCCAGTTTGTGGTTTATCTTTTATTCTAGCAGCATCTCTTTAGAAAGCAAATGTTTTTAATTTTTGTGAAATCCAGCTTATTGATTATTTTCATTTATAGATCATGATTTTGCAGCAATTTTTGCTTAACCCAAGGTCACAAAGGTTTTTTTCCTGTATCTCCTAAAGTTTTATATGTTTATATTTTTAAGGTCTCTGTTTATTTTGAGTTAATATTTGTATATGGTGCAAAGTATGGATTGAAAAGCATATCCATATGGATCAATTTGTACCAGCATCATTTGTTCAATTCTATTGACTTGCCTTTGCACCTTTGTTGAAAATGTATTGCTTATATATATGTGGGCCCATTTCTGGACTATCCTATTCTATTAATTTATGTGTTTATCCTTTCTCCAATATTACAGTCTTGATTTACTGTGGTTTTATAATCTTGAAATTTGATAACGTGCATCCTTCAACTTTGTTGTTCTTTTTCAAAATTGTTTTGGCTACTCTAGTTTTTTTTGTCTTTCTCTTATTTTTAATAGTAGAAAACTCATAGAATGGTAAACTGGCTTCATTCAGCTTCTATTTTTACTCCCAGGAGAGTGGAGAGAATCGAGTTATACCTTTATTATGTCAGTTTGCCTGATTCTTTTTCAGCTGATTTTTGCTAAAATAGGAAGACTCTGGCTCCTTCAGTTTGGCTCATTTGGCCCTGTTTCTTTATCCTTCTGTTGAGGTATCTTCTCAGTATTTTTCATTTGGACAAGAAATTGACTTTCTTTTCCAGTTTAGAAATATATTTTAAATGTTTAGTAATTCACACGTGATTATTCTTGATTAAGTTCTTCAGATCTCCCCAGTGTGTTACTCTGATTTAAAAAACAAATACTACATTGAGGGCTGGCCGAGTGGCACGTTGGTTAGGAGTTGGCTTGGGACACCAGCTCTAAGCAGTTGGGCCCCAATTCGGATCACACATGCGGGCCAGTGATGCTGCACCCTCTACAGCTAAGATGGTGAACAACAGCTTGACCTGGGGCTGGGCTGCCGTGAGTTGCTGGCGACGGTGTAGGCTGCAGTGGGGCTGGCTGGCAGCTGGCGTGAGCTTTCGTGAGCTGCTCTGAGCCACCGTGAGTGGCCGTCCAATGGCTGGCAAGCGACTGCCTCACCCGGGAAGAGCACAATGATAATACCTACATGGGCCAGTGAAGCAACGCCCTCCACAACTAGACTGAAGAACAAAAGGACAACAACTTGTCTGTTCCCCTTCCCCGATTCCCCAACGCTATTTTTCTCCCCCAGTTCCCCAATAAAATCTTTAAAACAAACAAACCCAAATACACTGAGTCATAAGAAGGGATTGAGAGTGGAACTACATTTGGGGCGAAAGAAAGAAAGTGGAATTGATGTTGGTTTGAGGACTTAAATTTCAGGGATAGATAGAGGACTTTTATAATTCCTGGCCAGCATTATAAATTAAGCTGCTTTAAGGAGGAGGGTTGCAGATGGGAGAAGGGAGTTAGAAAAGTAAAAGCGAGTTGTGGTTTTTTTCTTAATGGAAAAAAGTACAAAAATCATTGCAAGATTTAAACCCAAATCAGATTTACTATTGTTCCCGTCCTTCCCCTTTTTCTCTCCCCTTCTTCTCTCTCTCCAGTTATCTTACATAGTTTTAAACTATTTGATGGAAATATTTAAATGTCATTTAAATATAAATTGGAATTTCTTTAGTTTTCCTAACTCTGACACCTAGTTTGTTTTATCATCTGGAGGTAGATTTTTTTTTTAATTTTCATAAAACTAGAAATAAGAAAACATCATATGTTCTTCACATTGTAGTTTTCTTACGTTAAGACATTTCCTTTTTTGCCTTTCATGCTCTTTGGTGAAGATTTTGCATTAGAGAACTCTGAATGTGTATGATAATTTTGGTTTCAAAGTCTACATCTTGGGAAAATTATTCAGGTTTTAAAATTCCCAACTATTTTCTGAAATTTTTTCCAACTTCAGATGGTACTGATGGAAAAGCATTGGTCTTTCCACTTTTCAGACACAAGGTGGTGCACTACACCTAGTCTGAAATCCTGTGGATGACTTTCTTCAACAACCCAATGAAACCCAACTTAAGATAGAACATTATAAAAGTTCACATTGGACACTAAAAGAAATTGTTTATGACAGCAGATAGTTTTTATAGAGGGGTCCAGTTTTATTTGAAGGAAATCCAAGGGGCTTTCACAGAGAAAATAATGTGTAAAATAATGCATTTTACTGCATTATTGTTAAAATTTTTTGTTTGGAAATAATTTTAGGCTTATTAAAATGTTGCAAGAATAAGAATAGTACAGGAAACATCCATATAACCTTCACGGAGGTTTATTTATCCTTAACATTTCATTGCATTTGCACACTTTCTCTTTATATACGTATGTGTTTTTTTAATGAAATATTTGAAGTTAAATTATATATATCATGGCACTTTACTACATTGTGCTTTTTCTAAGTGACATTCTATTTTGTATAACCACAATACAGTGTCAACTTTAGTAAATTCAATGTCAGTAAATTTAACATTGAAGTAAATTTAACATTGATACGTTTATCCAGTCTTCCATTGGTGTTTCAGCTTATCATTTGGTTCAGTGTTGCCCTTTACAATGTTTCTCCCCCTCCAGTTCAGCAGCCTCAAAGTGAATTATAACATTTAATTGTCATGGCTCTTTAACCTCCTTTATCCTGGAATATTTCCACAGCCTTTCTTTGTCTTATAACGTTGACATTTAACTCCACACCCTCCTTTTAATAGAACATTACTCAATTCTATTTTGGGTTTGTCTGATGGTTCCTCATGATATAGGTTCTACCTTCTCTGGTAGAATTGCATGCGTGATGTTGTGTCTTTCTTAGGGTATTGCATATGTTCATAGTCCTTTTCATGGTGATGTTACATTATATTTTTGTTCGAGTAATTTTTTTTTGGTAAATTTAGTTGTATATGATTAAAAGAAGGATTTAGTGTCCATCAGGAGGTGTAAGAACAAACATTTTCCCTTGAAGGAAGATACTTAGAAATAGATTAATGCTTCCAGTAGGTAAAGTCTAATATGACTGTAAGACTTGAGGTAGCACATTTTTACTTTATTCCTTGCAAAGCTCTTAATACAGTATATTGGCATTTTCTGTGCCCCTGGCTTGCCAAGGGGTATTGCTGATATCCTCCTCGGGATCTGCCAGTCATTCTGGTGAAAGAATAAAATCTGAGTAGGTAACATTAGACAAAAAGAAATCTAAAAAACAGAGCTATCTCAATTATAAATCTCTTAGATGTTATAATTAGTACCAAATTCAAATTATTTTGTAGTCTCTTTGAGTTTGTGCTTATATTAATAACATTTAAACACAGAAAAAACATGTAAGTGCCATCCAACTATGTTGACTGCAGAGACCATTGTAAACGTCTCAAAGAAATGATCAGCAGTCTTTATCCTTTGCTTATTTGTTGTTGTTAAGTGGACAGAAATAATTTTGTGAGTCAGGAAATATCCTAAATATTTTTAGTATGTTAATTTTAGGGTATGTATGTATAAAAATTCTCAGAAGGTAATAGAAACTTATTGTTTTAAATAGTCATTTTGAGTATTTGCAATTAATTTCTTGACTTTTACTGAAAACTATCTGTGACATCAATATTAAAGATAGTATAATACCCTCTAAGAAAACATTAGTTTACAACTCTGTTGCAGAACATGGTGAATCAAAACTTTTTTATGTCATGATCTTACACCTAATCCATTTACTTTGATTACATATGTATAGTATGTATAAAATATGTGTTTCCATGTACTGTGGACATTAAAGCACTTGAGATATGAAATTAGATGAATAGAAAATAATTTGAATGCCAAAGTGCCCATTAAATTTAACAGTTGAAAAATTATTTGATTCGTCTCTGACTTCTTTCTCACAATAGTTACCCTGCAAAGTATTGGAAGGGATAAAAAGTTACCTCCATATTCCTTCCTGGTTTGCCCCCTGATTTTACAAAGAAGCATGCTGCTTAAATTGGTAGCGGTTTATAGCTGCTGTTTTTGACACTTGTATGCATGTCTCTGAGTTACCATTTAGGGCACTAAATGGTACCCTGGGGCTTAAAAGAATTCTGTGTGTCTTCCCAAGTGTCTAACTTAATTCTAGGATCTTGAGCTGTAAAGATTATTTGATTTGAATATAGTTTTTAAAATTGTTTTTTATTTATTTTCATTCCTCAGACAAGACATCCCTATAGATTCTACTTCATCCCTGAGAGAGAACAAGCAACCTGAAGGTTTGGAATTAAAACAAGGTATGAATCAACTGCTTAATTGTTCTATGACATTTATCTGAAGATTATAAGCATTTACAATAATAAATTTTCACAGTGTTCCAGCTTGTCCTCTATAGGTAGGGGACAGAAAATATATTTGGTCCGAGATCAGCACAGAGGAACACATCCTTTGTTTCATGACTCCTTTAGCCACTGGAGTAGTTCCTCTTTAGTGATGTACAGTTACAGATGCTATCAGCAAGTTGTCATCTTAAATATTTTTAATTTGGTAATCTTTATATCCTTTGCTGCAAGGTATTAGAGATATGTTAACTGGGTAGCTTTGGGTTGTATGTGGAAAAAATAAGTTCTATGGGATGCTTTCTTTTTTTTTTTTGCAGAGATATTTTGTCTGTGTTTGCTTTCTTCCTTGTTTATTGTTTTCTATGAAATCAGTAGTTTTTGATATTACCAGCTAGCAATGTAAAGTGGTAATTTGTGACTTATTCAAGACAATAGATCAATAGCGCTAATTTTTTAGATGTTTTGTTTGTTTCTTGTGTTTTGTTTCTTCTTATCTTGGGAAAATTGAAAGTAAAATAAATTTTTATTACTCAAAGGACATATCACATTTTTCCTTTTTCCTGCTAAAATTACTTCAGAGTAGTAATAAGCTGTTGCAGACAAGAAAGTTGTGTTACTAATTATGTAAGCAACTAATCTTTGAAGGCTTATAATACTTTTTCTAAAACTTGTGTCATAGGAACTTATTTGATAGAAGCAGGTTTTCAGTGTATTTAAGCAGAATTTCTTTTTTTCAATTGTGGTATGTGTTACTAATGCTTAGTTTACAAAATGGAAAAAAGTCGGATGATTAATTTTGCAATTCGTTCAATTTATATGTAGAGAGAACAAAGTCTAGATTTTCTGTAAGTCTAACTTATGTACTCTGGGGTTTATAAATATTTCTGACGATCATGAGAATTCCAATGCTTTTCAGAAGTCCTGTTGTGTTAGCCTCTTAAATAGCCAGACAAAATTACATCTTTGTATTCTAACTACTTCTGAGCACCCCCCAAGACATAGACTCAGAGTTGCAGTTTTCATTTACGTACATTTATTTGTCATGTGCAGATACATGCTAAGCACACATCATTTTCATATAATGTAGTCATAGTCACGTAGCTCTTGTACCATGTATTAGTATAATTGAACAACTTTGTTACTGTTTCTGCCTTTGTTTCTACTCTTTGCAGTAAATGAGCAGTGTGGAGGTTATGCTGTTAGATTATCTGGAGAGAAGAATGTTATGTTTGTTTAGATAGAAAAAGCTAGAATGGGCAGGCTGACTCCAGTTCCTAGGGAAGAAGGAATGGAAACCTCTTTATACAAATTAGCCAGTTTGGGAGAATATGTTTTTCTGCTCCCGTGTTCAGGCACCTGGAGCTCTTTCGAGCTCCCTTCCAGTGTCAACAGCCTCTTTTGTTGTGATTTTCCTAGGGTAACTTCAGTCATTTGAAAAACTAGCCATGGAGGCAAAGAGGGAGAGAAAAAGGACTCGGAGTAGCCAGATAGCACAAAGCTCGTAGGAGCTTTTATAGACCACTCTTAGGCTCTCACCTAGGCATGTGAAACATCAGGAATACACTGTCATCAATAAGTGACAGCCAGCAGAGGTGAGAAAACATAAGATCAACGCACAGCAGTACCATCGTGCCGTACAGTTCATGTTCATGTTGTGACTAAATCTATAGGAAATGGCTAAATTGAGTTTCAGCTGTTTTTTAAAAGAAAGCAGGGGAATAGTTCTTTTAGAGACATTTCTATAGATATGATTAAAATATGAAATATTTTATTGCATGATGGGATAAACATAAATTACCTAAACAATTCAATTATGTAGAGCATGTTCCAGATAAATATTAGTATAGCTCACATCTGAACCAGCTAGTAAGTAACTTGCCTGGCGTTCCCCAAGAAGCTGAGGAACTCCAGGAAATAGAAATCCTGGCAGGCTCAATAAGGATTATTGCCTTTTTTCTAAATGAATTAATATTGTCTATTTTTAATAAGCAAAACTTTTAAAATTGACTTAATATTATCTCTAACTTTTTTTGCATAGCTAGCTATTCTTGCTCACAGTGAGCTCAATAAAAACAGAATATAATGCTCCTTGTGAATGCATTGTCATTTTCTTTAATGGCTTGGCCGTTTAAGAAAATTCATTGAAGCTTATTTAGTACCAAAGTAACCCTTTGTTCGGAAGACCAAAATATAAAGCAGCATTGAATTTTCCCTTTGCTCTTTCAGAACAAAATAAATCTTACCGTTTAACCTATTACCGGTGTGTGATACTGACAGGTTATTTAAATTACATTTTCAGTTTTTCAGCTTCTAAAATACTCAAATATCGAGAAATATTAACTATGAATTAGTTAAATTGAAACTGGCATTTCTTTGTCTAGTACTGGTTTCATTCATCTTTTTGATAGGAAATAACATTTATGAAATGGCTGTGCTGAAGACGAATATCAGATTGTACACTAACTGTTATCACACTTTAATAATGGACCAATACCTGAAGCTTTACCTTCGCTATGCAGACATTATTTAACTATAAATATAATCTACTGGTCGATTGATTGGAACTGTAGTAAAATAGAAACTCTTCTGTTGGGGTTATTTTTCTGTCATTTTTAGCAAGAGGTCAGTTGTATAAGAAACACGAAGTATACTTCTGCTGTTTATCTTTTAGCACAGCTGTGTTTGTGTGCACACGCCCATATACATGTGCAAGCCTGAGAGCTTCTGGTAGTGTTCTGGAGAATTTCAAGGCTTGTAGTAATGAAAAGGTTTAGCTCAGCTTTTAAAATAATAACGGTTTACATAAATTTTCTAAATTAGTCATTTGTGCTGTAGTTTAAAAAAATGAAAACTGCTATTTGTCCAAGGTAATTTGTAGAAAATATTTTTAAAATATCAGATCTCTGCTAGTATTAATGCATTGTCTTCCTTTATATGTAGCTATAAATAAATTTGCTTAAGACATTCAGTAATGTTAAAATAATGGTCTGTATTTAAATTGTTGATTTAATTTTACAGCTGGGGATGTGTGTAATTTTGCAAAGTAGTCTCCTTTGTAACTTTCAGAATTAAGCTCTTATGTTTGCATTCCTTCTTGGAAGTTGTTAGGAGAAATTTTTTTAACTATACATGAGAAATAGCTAAGTGAAATTTGCGTATTTAGGTTGAAGGTAAGAGTTGAGGTCACTTTAAAATATTTGAAGGTCTGTCAAGTGGAGGAGTGATTAGGCTTCTCCTGTATTGCCTCTGAGAATAAAAATAGGGCCAGTAGATAAAGTTACCATTAGACAATTTATTTTAAATAATAATCACAAGTATAAGAAAATACAGTGGGCAGTCTTCTGAAATACGTTCCGGTTGCTGAAGGTGTTTGAACACAGGTTATGTAAACGGCCACTTGGTGGCACTGTTGTAGAGCAGATTCAAGCAATGTTTGGCTGTTTGGCCTTGATCTTGAAGTGCCTTTCTAGCTTTCAGATTTTGTAAAGACCAGTAAGTGCCTAGTGCAGTGTCTTCACTTGGGAGGAGTGCTTAATAACTGTTTTCTTAGATTGTTTAATGGAAGCAGAATGAAATATACAACTTTTCTTCTATATGTTTTTTATTCTATTAGAGGAAAAGATACTTGATCTAGTCTTTAAGCTGTATGATAGTTCCTTGAAATACATAACATTTGTCAAAAATAAATATGTAGGGCCGGCCGAGTGGCACGTTGGTTAAGAGCTGGCTTGGGACGTCAGAGGTCCCTGGTTCGGATCCCACATACGAGGGCCAGTGACACGCCCTCTTGCTAAGATGCTCAAGGGCAGCTCAGCCTGGAGCTGGGCTGCCGTGAGTTGCCAGCGAAGGCATAGGCTGCAGCCTCTGCTGCAGTGGGTTGCCATGGGCTACCGGGTGTGGCCGGCAGCCGCTGTGAGCGGCCAGCAGCCGCAGTGAGCGGCCGTCCAGAAGCCGGCGACTGATCCTCCTCGCCCTGGAAGAGCGCAGTGATGGTGCCAACTTGGGCCAGTGAAGCGATGTCCTCCACAGCTAGACTGAAGAAGAACAAAGGGACAGCAACTTGTCTGTTCCCCTTCTCCCAATTTCCCAGTGCTGTTCCCATCCCCCAATTCCCCAATAAAAATCTTTAAAAATAAATAAATAAATAAATAAATAAATATGTAACCATATAATATATAAAATAATCAAAATCAGGAAGACATTTACTACATCTTCCTCTGATTCTTTCAAGCTTTCTGATGCAGAGTTTTGCTGTGATTAGACGTAAATCGTGCCACTTTTTCTTTTTGATTGAGGTAACATTGGTTTATAACATATAAGTTTCAGGTGTACAATATTACAGTTTAACATCTTGTTTTTATTTTTTAAAATAATCTAGTTGCCTTGTGCAGTTATATTTTGGCCTTCTAGTTGATGAGTTAGCGAATGATAGCTTTAAGACATACCTTGTTAACAAGAGCTTCAAGAAGTTGAAAGGTAGACTTTAATAGGGGGAAAATGTTTTCAGTGGTTAAACTATGTGATGAAACTTTAGAATAGATATTTTCTTTGGGCTTCTTTCAGCCTTTCAGACCACTTGTCACTAAAATGTGATTATATACACTCCCAGAGAATGTAGGAAGAAAACACCAGAACTTCTAAAGTAAATAAATTATATATTTAAGCATCTCCCTTTTAACATTCCTGATTACATATATATGATTGTAATAGTACATGTTAATTTGTAAGTAAATGAGAAATATATAGCAAGCTTAAAAATGTTTTCACTGATAAGTTTATGTAGGTAGTGAGACCACTCTTGTAGACTGTCAGAAAGAATTGATAATGGTCACAACTTATTCATTTCTTACTTCTGAATATTAAATGTGGTATATTTAATATTCAGAAGTAAAATGTGGAGATTTTGCTATCATTTAGCAAAGACAGTAAATATAAAACTATGAGACCATTTGAAT